TTGTATGTTTGGTAGAGTTTATGTAATCTGTAGACTATCTCCGTATGGTAGACTGTTGAAATAACAATGTAGTAGATTAATTAAGTTTGGTATTTACAGAGTTAACCTTGATCTGGTAGACATATGACATGCTTATGGTAGACTTGTTTATATGGTAGAGTTATTTGTCATGGTTGAGGTAGACTTAGTATTTAATGTTTGGCAGACATTTGACTTTATGGAGTAAAATTACTTTTTTGTCCAAAAGAATTGTTCTATCTACAAAAAAACCTACTGTTTGGTAGACTTATGGTTTCAGTGTTGTACGTCTTGCAATTTTCTTCCATATGGTAGACTTATGGTAACGGTAATCATAAACTGTTACCAACGAACCGTCGCATATGGTAGACTTATGCATTTTCCAACGAACAGTCGCTTCGATTTCGAGAACTTCTATTGACTCGAGTCGCTTCGATTTCGAGAACTTCTATTGACTCGAGTCGCTTCGAGTTCTCGTGTGAGTTCTCTATAAATTCCCTAAACCTAGATGATTCATTTCCCATCCCTCTAAACCCTATGGCGAATCTCGAGTCGCTTCCTTCTGATCTTTTGTACGAGATATTGTTGAAAATATCTTCAAACTCGTATGCGGATCTTTGTCTTGCAAAAGTTTCGTCCAAAACACTTAACAACATCTCAAATGAAGCGGGTTTTCTTAGGAATGTTGATTTAATCAACATTATGTTGCCGTGGAGGTGGGATGTTCACGGAAGGGTCGGTGCATTCTTCAGACGGTGCTTGGCGGCAGGAAATCCATCCGCACAATTGCGAAGAGGTTTATCGCTGATTTTCTTCGAACATAACCTCCAAGCAGGGTGTGATCTCATTCGAATGGCATCAGACAACGGATTTCTCATGGGTAAGTACTGCCACACTATGTTACATCTAACCATGGATGGCACATCAGAGGTATTCAACTCTGTCAAAGCTCTCTCCCGGGAAGATGCAAAGCAAATGAGATTGGCAATGGAAAAGATCTTCATGCCTGCGTTCAATTTCCAGAAGCCCGAGGAACTGGTGGAAATGGTTTTCGAGGCTTATAAAAAGTCTTTAACTACAAGGATTTGTGGTTGTCTCAAAGTACCAGACATGCAATGGATGGGAGATGAATACCTGCTAGAGACGTATGGGGATCAACTTTGTGAATCCTGCTTCTGGAAATTGGAGTGTGCCAATTTCTGGTGGGTAGTACCGTCGTTTGCTATGGATTGGCCACGTTGATTGCATCAGTAGTCGTCAAAAAGATTTCTGTTTAGTTAAGTAGATTTGTTTTTATTATGAAGTAGACTTATGAAGTTATGTTGTGTTATTTATGTTGTGTTAAGTAGATTTATGTGTTATTCATTTCGAAAGCTATTAATTATAACAAATCTACCAAAAATAATAATAAGTCTACCATTCGTTCGACTGAAATTGGGGACATGACAAGTCTTTTACAACAAATCTACCAACAATATAATATAAGTCTACCATTCGTTCGACTGAAATTGAGAACATGACAAGTCTTTTACAACAAATCTACCAACAATAAAATATAAGTCTACCATTCGACTTAATATAAATCTACTAAACATAAGGAAACGGACTTGTACTGGTTTTGCACCTGCTTAAATGTATTGTACTTTAGTTGGTAGAGCTATAAACATACAAGTACA